GCGATGTGGTTCCCATGGATGCATGCCATTTGTTGTTAGGTCGCCCGTGGCAGTACGATCCGGCGGAAACTCATAACAGTCGACTCAACGATTATTCTTTTTTGTTTGGCAGGATGAATATTATCGGCCCTTCGCCCAGTGCCATCGACGAGTCCCATGTCACCAGTTCTGGTTCTTTCGCGGTTGGCCTTTGTGACAGCATTGCATGATTCCCCGCTGGTATTGTTTTTTGTTGGGGTTGACACAGGTGAGGAGAGAGCACCGTCGGCTGCCATTTGACCTCTTCTGTCCGAGTTGTTCGACGTGTTTCCCGAGAAGCTCCCATCGGGTTTGCCTCCACTTCGCGACATCCAACACCACATCGATTTGGTCCCAGGGGCTTCTTTGACAAATAAACCTCACTATCGGATGAGCCCGAAGGAACATGAGGAGTTATGGCGACAAGTCGAAGAGCTCCTTCAGCGTGGCATGGTACGTCGTAGCCTGAGCCCTTGTGCAGTGCCGACACTTCTAATTCCAAAGAAGGATGATTCCTGGCGAATGTGTGTGGACAGCTGGGCAATCAACAAGATCACGGTCCGGTACCGATTCTCAATTCCTCGATTGAATGATTTGTTGGATCAGCTCCACGGTGCTATCGTTTTCACTAAATTGGACCTCCGTAGCGGCTATCGCCAGATTTGGATTCACCCTGGGGACGAGTGGAAGACGACGATACGTGAAGGGCTTTTTGAGTGGATGGTGATTCCATTCGGTTTGTCTAATGCACCGAGTACGTTTATGCGAGTGATGAACCAAGCACTCCGGGACTTTATCAACAAGAGTGTTGTCATTTATTTCGACGATATTCTTGTCTACAACAGAACAATGGAGGAGCACTTGCAGCATGTTCGAGAGGTCCTATTGGTGTTGCGTGCTGAGTCTTTTTTTGCCGCTCCTCGTAAGTGTTTTTTCTTGGTCGATTCTATTTTATTCTTGGGGTTTGTGATTTCGACCGAGGGTATTTGTGTGGACGAGAGTAAGGTGGCCGCTATACGTGAGTGGCCATCTCCGACGACTTTCACGGAGGCTCGGAGTTTTCATGCTCTCGCTTTCTTCTACCGCCGGTTCATTTTCCACTTTAGTACGATTACAAATCCGATAACTGATTGCCTTTACGGCAAATCCTTTGTGTGGACATCGGAAACAGAGGCTGCATTCGCTCTGATAAAGAGCAAGTTGACATCTGCTCATGTGCTAGTATTACTGGATTTTTCAAAGCCGTTTGAGCTTTCTTATGACGCTTAGAAGGTAGGGATTAGTGTTGTTCTCGGTCAGGACAGTAGGCCGGTGTCGTTCTTTAGCGAGAAACTATCTGGATCGAGGACACGTTACAGTACGTATGACGTGGAGTTTTACGCCGTCGTTCGCACGTTCTGGCATTGATGACATTACCTCTTTCATCGTGAGTTCATCTTGTATACTGATCACGAGGCTTTTCGCCATTTCGCATCACATGACAATATTTCGGCTCGTCACGCCTCGTGGATCGCTTTTCTACAGCAGTTCAATTTTGTACTTCGGCATCGTTCGGGAGCATCGAACAGGGTGGCCTATGCATTGAGCTGACGAGCTCTATTAGTGACGGATATGAGAGTTGTTGTTGTTGGTTTCGATGTCTTACGAGAGATGTATACTGAGGACTCGATCTTTGGGCCAATTGTGCGACGCCTCGCAGACGGTCCCGTCGAGGACTACTCCTTGTCTGACGAGTTTCTGTTTCCGGGAGTCGACTTTGTATACCGGATTGTAGCCTTCGGCTGAAGCTCATTGCAGATCTGCATGGTGCCGGACACGTTGGGCGTGACCGTTCGATTCCTCTGGTCAGATGGTCATATTTTTTGCCTTCACTTCGGCGGGACGTAGGCCGATTTGTGGAGCGATGTCGTGTTTGTCAAGTCTCGAAGGGGGTCGCATCGAACGCCGGGCTATATCGACCCCTTCCTATTCTCTCGCAGTCGTGGAGTGCGGTTAGTATGGATTTCGTGCTGGGATTGTCGCGTACTCAAAGGTATTTTGACTCTATCTTTGTGGTTGTGGACAGATTTTCGAAGATGGTACACTTCATCCTGTGCAAACATACCACGGATGCGGTTCATGTGGCACAACTGTTCATTCGGGAGGTTTACCGCCTCCATGGCATTCCGTCCTTGATCGTGTCGGATCGTGACACTCGGTTTCTAGCCACTTGTGGCGTGGCTTGTGGCGCATGGCGAATACTCATTTGGATTTCACTAGTGCGTACCATCCCCAGACACACAGCCAGACGGAGGTCGTGAATCGTTCATTGGGCAACCTACTTTGTTGCTTGGTGGGCGATAATCTTCGCAGTTGGGACCAGCGCTTGAGTCAGGCTGAATTTGCTCATAATTCGGCTGCCAGTCGGGCCACGGGACTCTCCCTATTTGAGACAGTCTATGCGGTTCGACCCCGGGGGCCGTCTGACTTGTTGGCACTACCGCCCTTGGCTGCAGTTGATCGGCGAGCCGCCGGCCTTATTACTAATCTGAATGCGACGCATGAGACGTCGTGGGCCTGGCTAGAGGCCACGACCGCCTCTTACAAGCGCCGCACGGATTTGCATCGTCGACATGTGGAATTCTCGGTTGGTGATTTTGTTTGGGCCGTTTTGACAAAGGACATGTTTATGGCCCACGAGTATAACAAATTGTCGGCATGCAAGATTGGACCGGTCGAGGTGATTGAGAAGATCAATCTGAATGCTTATCGCCTTCGTCTACCTTCTCATATTCGTACATCGAACGTGTTCAACGTCAAGCATTTGGTGCCATTTGTGTGGGACAATTCTGAAGACGAGACCGGTTCGGATTCGAGACCAAATCCTCCTCAACCGGGGGAGGACGATAAAGACGAGACCGCCATTGCGTATCTGAATAAATACGACCGGCTCCGAGTTTAGTCTATTTATTTCTCGTTATTATTAGTACTCTTTTATTTTATTTCATGTAGTTTATTTAGTAATTATGGTAGGATAATAAAAATCTTGCAGTTGTTGGGCAAGAGTATGTTTCTCTATTTTCCCTTTTCTTATTTATTGTTGTATAAACGAGAAAAGAAGGAGATTTTGATGAATTGAAAAACTGATCGTTCTATTTCACGAGAGAGTATCTCACATTCTTCCCCATCATACTACGCTCTACATCACTTTTTGTGTTTGGCAATTTTATCCTAATCTTTGGGTAATTGCAATATAATTTCGACCTCAATTTATTTATTGTAAATTTGGGTGCAGAGTGATTGATTTTAGAGATTTGTGGATCGATTTTGTGTACAACCTTCCCATTAACACGAGTTTTTATGCCATCCACGTAGCAAGTTGACAATTTCTACGTAATTAATGTATATCCACGCACAAAGCCAAAAATTCCACGTCAATATTAGCTACCGGTGATGAGTTTCCTCCTAGATCTGGAGTGAACCGGTAAATATGAGTTCCGATCTGTTCGAACCGCCTTCAAATCGACCAGTTTTTTGAAGGTCCAACCAGTTCTAGATTCGACTTGCAATAAGTAAATTGAGGTCGAGATTATAATGCAATTACCCAAAAATTGGGATAAAATTCTCAAACGCAAAAAGGTTAAGTTTTATTTAGTAATGAACCTCTTTTATTTATCGCTCTAACTTTTGTATGTGTAATATCATCATGTTCTTAATAAAACTATCGTGCTGTATCATCATGCTATTTCACTTAAATTTTCATATTGTGCTATATCTATTTTTACTATATGAATTTTCCATTCTATATCAAGTTATATTTTTCTTAAGCTCATTTTATTATTGTATTTTTTAGAAAAATTTATAGTGAATTTTCAATGTAAGTTTCAAATTTTTGGTGATTTTTCTAGATTTTTTTTAAAAAACCCTTTAAATTGTTTTTGTTCATTAAGGGCTAGCACTGTCAAAACGGGCTATGGGCTGGCCCGTCCGCCCGTCTAAATGGATGGGCTTGGGCCTTTGCTTGGATAGCCCGTTCAATCGCGGGCTGTGGCGGGTTGGACCGCGGGCTAGCCCTTTTTTTTATGACAAGTATTGTATATCTGTATTTTTTTTTTCTTGAATTTAATTGTATAATATAAATATAAAATAAAAATATAATTTTTTTTGACAAGTATTGTATTCTTTTTTTTTCTTGAATTTAATTTTATAATATAAATATGAAATAAAAATGTAAAGACGCGAAGAATTTGAGCAAGGTGGAGATTTGATGGAGCTGGACAAAAATTGGTCGTCCACTTTTAAATATCTCAATCCAATCACTTTCCTTAATATAGCATAATAGCACCAACAATTATTAAAAATAGCCAATTATTAAAGAATGAAAGTTTTTAATTTCATTTTGCATTTTACCACAATTCAATCACAATATATGATCACCATCGAGATCAAAATGTCGTACAAGTAATTCTTATTCAATTCCCACTGTTTTTTTTTTGCCTTTTATAGGTTGAATTTAAAACCAAAATTACACATAAATTACAAAAAAAAATAATAATAACAATAAAAAAAAAAGTAAATAAAAAAAACCACGGGCGGGCAGATTTGGCCCGCCCCGTTTGAACCGTGGGCCGGACCGGATCGGCCCGTTTGACAGTGCTAACAGTAATTAAAAAAAAAAAAAACAGATGCAGATTTAAATGCTAAATGCAATTATTGCAGTCTCTGAACCAAGACTCCTGGAGTGTAATAAAACCCCAAATCAGATAAACATTCTCAATTTGACGAGCCTCTATACTGATGCCTATAAAGAATATGTTTCACCGTATAAAAACACACGTTCCACTGGTCATTCGGTAGCAATAAAGTGGAAATAAATTAACTATCACAAAAATTTGTGGGAGAAAAATTACACCCAGAACATTTGTTCTGAAAGTCACCGACTTATAACGACGAGAAAGGCTTTCAACGCGCTGGACTTCAGAGGATAGCCATGCCCCTTAAGTTTACATGCCAAAATTGCACATCTGCACGAATTCCATTTCATTATCGACATACTTTGTCCAGAGATGCTTATAACGATTCATGGCAATATCCAGCCAAGGTTTCATGTCCCCACTGAAATGAATAACTGCAGCCTTATCAATTTCCTCTAAACTGATGCTGGGATTGATCCCTAGCCCAAGCACATGCCATGATTTGTCCAGCGTCTTCGTTGTCGAGTAAAAGGTTACAAGCCCAGCAGGTAAAGTCCCAAGTTTCCACAAGGAACGGTCCTCATTCTGATAATTTATTAACAAAAACTTCCCAGTAAGTAAATGTATTAATGCGCCAATTACAAAAGAAAACCACAAAATTTAATCTTATTCTACGAAGGCACAAGCATCACTGATACTGTTTTCCACTTTAAAACAATTCAGCTTTGGTGGCGATTACTTATTTAAATTGATGAGGTTATTATAATACCTTAAGGGGTCGTAAATCCTGAAACAAAAGTGAATACTTTTTTGTACTTAAGCTAAACCATTTGCGTGATGGGTGTGATTATGTCATCTCTGTGTTATCAACGTGTGTGTGTGTGTGTGTGTGCGTGTTTGTGCACGCACATGCATCACATATATAGACCTATGTACAAAGAATCACATAACTCGGACTGGCTTCAAGATAAATGACGAAAATTCAATCTTAACAATAGAAGCATCCAGAAAAAGCAGCAAGCTCCAGTCGTAAAGCTTACCAGATTCTGCCAATAATGATATTGCTCGGTGCTTTTTTCCCGCCGCCAAGCATCGAGATCAAACAGGTTCATGCCAAAAGCCCATGCACAGGCCCTCGGATTAAATTTCTCCTTGATGAGAGGATGAGAAAAATTTAAATATTCGGAATAGCGGTGAAATGAGCCAAAGCAGGTATTGACAGCAGCATTGACATTTCCATCCATATCGATTTTCCACAAGGCGGTCAAATCTTTCTGAACCACAACATCGTCATCTAGAAATAGAATCTTGTGGAGCTTTGGATACAACTCAGGCAGGTAGAACCGTAGGTGGTTGATCATCGATAAATACTTGGGGTTTCTAAATTTCATGTTGTTCACATCTTTTGTAGTGTTCTCTGCCCTCGTCTCAAAGTAAAACTTCTGTAGGTTCGCAGATCTAATTTGTCTGAGGACAGGTGCATACGAGGAAGTTAAGAACTTGAAATTATCCACCGCCTTGATCTCAATATGAGAACCACCCTGTATTGGCCTCATTTTGAACCAAACTTTAGTGGCAGCAAAGTTCATCCTGTCTGTAACAATGTGGAAAACATGTTTCCATGGCTCCTCCGCATTCTTGACAACAGAGTTAACAACAACAGATATTGCTATCACATTGTCAGAAAATAAGGCATAATGGTATAAAGTTGGGTCTTCAAACTCGGGCTTGGGCTCATCATCCTCATACTTCTCAGGATGTGCAATTCTCTCCTCCATCAGACGCATTGCAAGACAATGCAAGCTCTTGGGAGTTGATTTAGCAGCAATTAGGCTGGCAAAGGCTCCATTCTTCTTTGCCTTCAAAAGCAACTCATTAACAGCAAATATTGTGTCTTTCAATTTCTGGATCTTTAATTGATTGTCATAAGATTCTTTGGAATCTGAAATCATTAGCCGAGCAACCTTTACTTTATCCTTAACCTCTTTCTCAAACTGCCTCAGGATATCTTCATCGACTGGCCCTTCGGATTCAAACAATGCAGTTCGGTAGGTCTGCTTCAGTTGAAGATCCTGGAAATTCTTAGCTAAATCATCAAACATCTTAAGCTGCTTCGATATTTCAAGTTTGAGCTTCCTTGCGTACGTGCCATATGCATTAACTAAGGCAATATGGTTATTTGCCTGGTTATCTATCAAATCTAACCTAGTCTTCAGAGGATCTGAGCGCAATGTTAGAAACGTTCGAGTTACATGGGTGCCTCCTGTATGGTCGATAACCTATTCATAATTCAGGAAAAAGAAAAACAATTTTACTGAGGTCACAGCATGTTCTTAAAGTTCCTCAAGAAACCACAATTTCCTAGTGAAGTAATGAACTCGAAAAATCATGATCAAATGTGGAATCTAACTGTCTGAGTCAGAAAGATAAACTCTGATCTTAGAATCTGGCATTGTTATTTCATATAAAAAATAAATCGCATAGAATCCAGCAGTTCGGAAAGTAATCCCAAAATCCAAGTATTTTGTAAAATAAAATTAGCATGAAAGAAATGAATAAATGACATTCTTTATTTGAATGTATCGTGGAACCACAACTGATTAAACGACTGCAGATACATCCATCTAGGATTTACCGGAAAAAAAAGACCGATTGCAAATGATTCTTACGGTTTCATTGTGAGATGGGTGAGATGAGAGCAGTACGGAAAGAGTAGCGAGGAATAGAAGCGTGAACATGGCGGAAACAAAGATCCGATAGCTGAAGAAGCTCCGGATCACGGATCCGCCCGCCGATCCGACACGACCGCCGCGGACCGCCACCGCCATGAACGATCACCTCGGCTGAAACCTGTAATTGCGTATTCCTCTGCAAAAACAAAAAATTAGTCGATCCTCTTCGCACAAATGATATTAGCTACAGCAGTATTCAATTGGATATGCGGGCGCGTGGGGTCAGTGTGTACAGATAGACACCCATTTAGAGATCTGGGGAGTGTGAAGAAAGGAGGTGGTTAGATAGTTGGAAGAAATCAAGGTGATAGAAGAAATCAAGAAAAGGATATAATTAATTAATCTATATGTATAATTAGGGCAAGTATTTTATTCACCCTTCAATTAATAAAAATAGGTTGCATTTAACAAAAACTAGTACATACCTCGTGTGATGCGCGTGACAAAGATATTAAATGAGTTATTTTCACAGTCTTGTTCGTTTAACTCTAAAAAATAATAATGTTATTATCTATTTTCTACCTCTTTTAATCAACGTTAAGTCTAAAAAATTATTAAGCCGTCCTCTGACAAATATGTATGGAGTTATGTGTTTGTGTCTCATAAGTCACAAACATTATCAATGACATTACAAATTATTCATTCAAACTTTTATTCATTGCAAATATATTAAAATAGTTTATATAACAACCATTAAATACCACTTTCAATATATTTATAAATAAAAAGTACATAAAATTTCTGGCGTGTTCAAATTTAAATAATTTTATATGGGCTCAATTTTAAATCATCCAGACATTTGGTCAAACGCATAAGTGTGTTCAAATTTAAATCATTGGCATTTTGGTCGGTTGAAATTTAAATCATCTACCATGGTACTGTGATGTGTATTATTTATATATATATATATATATATATATATATATATGCATTTTTTATGTGTATTATATATATATATACATACATTTTTTTAACAAATAATATGTGTTTTATAGAAATAACAATAATAATTTTACAAGATTTTAAACGTAAAATTTGGTTTTTAATCACAATAGAAAAATCATGTTAAGTTGTATTGAAAAGGTGTTATGAGATAAAACAATTAACTAAAATAAATAAATAAAATACTTGATGGAAATATAATACATTAATTACCTTTGACTTTTCGTACTACTAATTCTAGTTAAAAAAATATATATTTTTATATAAGTATAGTTGTGCATGTAAGATTTTTTAAACTATTTTGTAAAGAAAATATGTCTAAAAATAATTAAACTTAACCTGTGTTACATATATGTGAGTATATATATGTACATATAGATAGAATATGTAAAAAAATATGTCTGAACATTTTGTTTAAGTATCTAAAATATTATAAGGCTAAATAAAGACATTATCTCACGCTAAAGTTGTTTTAGAGAAAATTTATAAGATACCATAATTATGATACTTCCACATGAAGATTTGACTACACAATATTTCAAAAATTACTATCATTTTTTTAAGTTGTTACCATAAAAAGGAATTTGTACGCTTAACAACTTATCAATTTTACAAATACAAATTGAAATTAATGCAAAAGCTATCAATTTTACAAATACAAATCGAGATTAATGCACACCGAAAATTATGTGACAAATAAGAAGAAATTTTATATGTAATTGAGATCAAAGACGAACACTGAAGATTGTTTCTATTAACATTTACAATATGTATTTAACATTTTTTTTTTTTTTTTTTT